AGAAAAGAGTTGGAAGTGCACTTTGTCAAAACAACCCTATTAAAGTAAGTATGTGAGGCTGAGGTCCTGCCAAAAAAGAGGAATCTGCTCCTTTAATAAAGAACAAAATCTGAATCAATTACAGAGTGCTTGAAAATAAAATTTAAAAAAAGAACAAACTCCAAGGGCAAAAAAAAAACTTTATACTGATGTATTTAGGCTCACTACATGCTGAAAGTCAACCCAGAGCTATACATTATAGCAGTAGTTCTCAAACTCTGGTACGTGTACTCTAGTGGTACATGGGGAAAATTCATACTTTCACATTTACATGGTGGTACTCGGATGTTTTCTCAGGTGGTCCAGAGTATAAACAGTTGGAGAACCACTGCATTAGACCATTAGACTGCCCTCTGCTGTATGAAGTGAATGAAAACTCCTTGTGCTGAAACATAAAAGAGCATTAAAGCCATATTTGTGTAAATGCCTTTCTAAAGTTAATAAAAAAATGTAATAATATATAAATAAATAATAAAATGTATACTAACACCTGTTTGGCCTGTTATCTTTTTGCCAGGGCTTCAGGAAGAAGAAATCTGATAATCTGACTCCGCTTGTTTACATGACGTCTGCACTGAGTCAACAGCCTGGGGTAAGTGGTAATGACTTTTTTTTTTCTGGTTGGATTTTTAGTGTAATTTGGTGGTTAAATAGCGACACGGTGACGTGGTTCTGCGGTCTACAGAAAGTTGGTTCCACTCCAACACAAGCATTTGGCTGAAAGCCAAACCGTGTCACTCTGCGTCGGCCGCTTCAGGTCGGTGAGATACTGCTGCGATGCCTTTCACCAGACAGAAGTTCCGATACGAGCTGGAAAAAAAAGGTCACTAATGTACTGATAGAGACACAGAGTAGGTACAGTATCTGAAGATAATTTATAGCTTTATTGAACAAGTCTTTTATTGTGTGGTTCAAAGTGTTTGGGCTTCTTTCCTGGAGATAATGACGGGCAATTAGTGAGAGCAGACCTCGTCTCCTCTGCATAACAACGACCCACGCTCGGAGAAACACAGTGTTTGTGTGAATAATGAAGTAATACATGTGATAAACATGATTTTTTTCTTTCCCGTATTGTACATCAGCATTGGAGAATTACAACCTCATCATTCTTCCCCTCGCCGAGCCGTTTTTTTTACGTGTGTTATTATTATTTTTATTTTTTTTAATTCAGTACTTCTTTTAAGATGCATAGATTTAACTGACTGTCTTCAACTGCATGATACATGAATGTAGGAAATGTATCTGTAAACAGTAGGAGCTAAAACAGAGGGTATAAAATGATTTAATGGCGTTAAAAGTATTGCAGTTTCTGCGTTCAGTGCCGTGATTCTCAATTATTTTCGCATTTTCTGTAATGCCTCCCATTGGGGACAGAAATGTTTTCGGGAACCGAAACTGAAATACTATTGAAAACCTGATAACATGTATATTTTTTACCTGTACAAACCACTGTATGAGTTGCTGCCACCTAGTGACCGGAGGCTTGCTATCATTCAAACATTACAGCAGTGGTACACTTATGTCCATATTCTGCCCCACTCTTTGAGAAGTACTGATTAAGTCTAACAGCTTTCATGCACAGCTAAAGTTAAACATCAGAAAAATGATGTAAATCTCAGCTTCTGTGTCTGTTTATTTACCACAGTATGTCAGTTTTATTGCTTTACTGCATTGATTCCTAAACTTTATAAACTGCTTACCACTTCTGTAAATACTGGGTTCTCTAAATACCCTCGCTCAAACCAATTAAAATGCAGTAGCATGTACTTGCACTTCACACGGCCGACGTAGTTTTTTAAAAGTTCTGATTCCCCCAGGTACCACAAGTGGTACACGAACCACAGTTTGAAAACCACTGTTTTAGAGAGAGTTAACACACTTCCAACATCTCTGTTGGAAGAGTGTGATGCTCCTCGTTGATGAAGGACCTCTGATGGTCATGAGCAAACGGAGCGTGTCTGTGTTCCGTAAAGTTGATGATTAGCAGTCACTCTATGTTGTGCATCCACGTGACACAAATGGAAACTCACAAGGACGAGATGATTGCAATCGCTCGCCCGCTGTGAGGGCAAGTAACCAGGGCATCTGTACAGAGGGTGAAGAATTTAAACACGAAAATCCTGGACCAAATTTTAGAAAAATTACAGTTTAATATTTGCCAACATATGGTCACGTTGGTGTGGAACATACACTGAAGTCAAAGAATTTCAGCGCATTATGCAGCCGCGTCCCCCAAGGGGAGGTCAGTGGAGGTCAGGGGAGGCTGAGACCACCCTTAGAAAATTGCTGTTCACCCCAGTGCCTTGTCTTTTTAATGAAAAGGAGTGAAGGACGTATCCTAGAAAACCACAGTGCGTTTTCGGTGTGTGTTTTTATTAGATAGGATGGTAGGTTGAAAGTAAAGATAAAAGAGAGAGGGAGAGAGAGAGAACCCGTATTTGGCAGTTTTGGGGTAGAAGTAAAATAAAGCACAATCTAATTTGATTCACATTACTTTCCTTGTTATCTTGAGGGAACAGCAATGTCGTATAGACCACGGCGCCATCGTTGAAGGATCATTACATTTTCATAATAAAACTTATTTCAGTCTCTGTTCTGTTAGTATCGCAGTCTGAATGACCTCTTGTTTTGAAACATTGCCAGATTTTCTTTTAATGAAAAAAAGTAAAGGGATATGACTGGATTCTTTTTGAATGTAGTAAATTAGGAAAAAAATGTCACTGTGTGCCACTGTGGCCCTGTACCGGTCCCTGCACCAGTCTGTCTTTGTCGTCCGTTATTATCCAGCCCTGTTATGGACAAACGTATGTCTTAAAGATAAAACGGTAACAGCGAAGCGTCCACCGAGACTTCACAACTCACTTCAAACAAATAACCACGGCCCCTCTGTGCTGACGTACTGCGTCTTAATCAACGCACATTATAAAGTGTAATAATGGTTACGGCCGTTTTGAGAGACACTGGAGTTAATCCTAAGGCCACTCACGGGGGCAAAGACCCAACATGGCTGGGAAGCATAAACCGAACCAGGCAGCCTTGTATCAGATACTCTTTAACAGTGACTTCAGCTGTATCCACTTGAAACGACGCAGCTCTTCACAGTGTAATTGTGTAAAGATGGTATCAATTCCCCGTCTAACATGGTTTTAGGAGTGAACATTTGAATGAAAATGCACCAGAAAAAAGAGATCCATCAAAGCCACATGTCTAATGTTTTTTTTTATGCTAATTCAATCGAAGTCAGAGCTATGTAAACAAAATCATTACCCAAGGCTGGGGGAATAATTGATGTCTTCAGAAACGCTTCCTAACACTGAAACTGTTCTCTTTGTTTTTGCGAGCACCGGTGACGTTCGATTAGCAGCGAGCATCAAAGGGTGACGATAAAAATGACAGCTCTTGTTCACGACGTTTGGATCTTCAATATATCGATAGGTTTCAGTCCACTTGCCTGGAGATAAATCACTTTTTGACCTGCTGTGGTGTAGCCGTTACAGCAGAGGACGGTTTTTACTGAGCACCAATATTTTATCGGTAATGTCTGAGTAATGGTTTAACTAAGCACCTCTTATACTTAATTTTCTCACAAGAGCCTCGTAGTTCCGTTCGCCGTGGGTGAAAAAATAGAGAGAAAACATGTCCTTCAAAATGATGGATAGACTGAGGCCTCTGTCTTTTTTCATCTTTAAACAAGTTCTCTATTAAAGTATTACTTTATAAAGACCTGACGCAGTATTGAATGCTAAGTATATTTGTTGATAATAAGTCAGATGATATTGATATATTTTAGAGTGACTGTACTTGTTAGCTGTCTAACAGCCTGCAGGTAAAATGACTGACTTTTTTTTCTTCTTCAATTTATTAATTAATCGTGAAAAAAAAAAAAACTTTGATGAGAAGACATCATAAAAATCCTATTAGAATCGGAAGCAAGCATCTCCCCATATTGGCTGGAATATTTATAATAAAGCCATCGGATCTGTTGTTCTCTCCCAAAGGACACCTGTGTCAGACGGAGTTGACATTTTGGTTAATTACAAGATCCGTGTAGTTCACAATCCATTATTGGAGTTTTATCAGGTGATGACAGGGCCCCGATTGGCGTGTCAGACCAATAAAAGGTGCTCAGCTGTGGACGGACCTCTCTTTAAAAAAAAAAAAAAACCCCAGCTCATAATAAAAACAGGAATAATTTTCCAGCCATCTCATCCTTGTGGTTTTATATTATTCCCCCGCCCCCGCTGACAGACGGTCTGGGAAGAAGTGAGGGACTTGCATGTAGTCAGAAAAGATTATCAGAGCACCGGGCTTGATGTTTTGTTGGAGGAAGGAAAGCAATTAGAGTTAATTGCTAGTGAGAGGGCAGCCTGTGAATGGCAGATTGTGGAAAGGAGCTTCAGCTGGTAATAAACAAGTCATTAACTATTAGATCACGGGTGACCATAAAGCGAAGATGAGGACAGAAGGACGGTAGATTTCCAAACATGCGTGCAGGTACAGCACACGGGCAGTGCCGCTGTCCTTAAGGTTGACTCATCTGATCGGTTTGTTTTAAGAAGGTGAGCTCCGAACTGAGATCCATTTCATTTTGCAACAAGTGGATGTTTTCATTTGGCTTTATTAATTGCACAAAATGTAATGCATCAGAAATGACACTAATCAGACAAATAGCTGCTTTACACTGTGTCTCCACTGACTTGATGGATACCTGTTTAATCATAGTGGACGTTTCCCCTTGATTGGATGCTTGGGAGCATGATGATAGCATTAAAAAAAAAAGGTGGATTTGAAATGCTGGGTGCAGCCAGTGCTGGCTCATTGCCTGGAATTATGACAGAACCTTGCAGTCACTCCACGTTTTGAACACCTACAGTGGCAGCTGCTCACATCGTCTTGTCACACATTTCTCTCCCAGCCTCAAAAAGCCTTTTACAGCGTGTAAAAAGTTTCAGAGTTTTGCATAAATTGAACGTCTCATTTAGGAAGCCCTGTTTTATATTCATTCATCATATGAATTTGCTTTATCCTGTTAATGATGCCTCGGGGAACTGGAGCTAATCCCAGCAAGTTGGATGGAAACGACCGCAAAGAGAGGGTGATAGAAATGAAAGGCTTTAATTCTGGGCCTCTCGGTGTCACTGACCCGCGTTAGCGTTTTAACTCGTAATCTCTTAGATGCCTTGTTTCATAGACAATAGACAATATTTACGATGTGTCATTTCCATTTTGCAGTACAGAATACAGTGTTAGCACGTTAGATGAATTTATATTGAGACATAGTTTTGAAATATTTTGTTATATATTTGATGGAGAACAAGCCAGAGTCACACTCATGTACCTAGTAAAGCAAACTTGATACATTTCATAATGGGGAAAAACATTTTGTTAAACATATATATATATAAATATATACATGTATTTAAATATATTTGAGCATATGATTTAATGAAAATAACAATTCAAATCCATAGTGCGTCCAACAGCTGTTGAAGGTTGGTCTCTTAAGTTAAGTATTGTTAATTCTTAACAAGTAATAAGTAAATATTGTTTGCTGAATCAGCAAAAATTAATGTAATTAGTAATTGTAAAATT